AACTCTTTTAGATTCTTTGAGTTAAAGAGTCCCCACCAGTAAAACAATACAAGGAATCAATTAGCAGGTTGCAGCAGTGATAAGGGACAGAGTTTAGATTAGAGGAGATCGTGAATCAGAGTCCTCTGATTCGAATCTTCTATGAAGGTTCAGACAGCTCCTGAGCTTCAGTTCACTGGCTTGTCAGCCGACTCAGCCAGTGAACCGAAGATTCGATTCATGAATCTGTTCTTTTGAATGAACTGATCCAAATTAACCGATTTCATTTGAAAGATCCGAACTTCCCATCTTGTTCCTCAATGTGTCGAACACGAGCCCCCGGCAGGCAGCACACTGTTCGACGCTCCAGACACTGGTCTCAATGATGTGGCACTGGTGGACCAATTCCGGATCGGGTTGTTGGAGCACCTGAAAGATGAGCTCGCCCGCATCGGTGTACCAGGCACCTTGGAGGCCCTGATGGACTCGGTGACTCACCTGGACCGACGCTTCCGCGAGAGGCGACAGGAGAGGCAGTCGGCACCACCCCCACCGGCACGACGACTGGATCCTTTTCCGCTTCTGGAGCTGGTGCCCGCTCCTGTGTTGGAGAGACCCCAACACTGAGGAACCCATGCAGATCGGGGTGGTTCGTGGGCCGCTCTCCACGGTCGAGAGGACCAGACGCAGGGTGCTACGTCTGTGTCTATACTGCACCAAGCCTGGCCATTTCTTGAAGGACTGCCACGTCAAACCACCGGTAGGACAGACGCACCCAGTTCGTGTACTGACTTTTCTGTGTGCTGTAACCCGTCTCATCTCACCATCCCTGTCTCCTTGCAGTTGGGCAAAAATGGCGTTAATCTCGCTGCCATCATCGATTCGTGCGCAAGCAGCTGCTTCATGGATAAGGACCTAGCTCTACAGTTGGGGATACCGTTACGCCCGAAAAGGAACCCATTGCAGCTGCACATGGTGGACGGTAGCACCCTGCAGACCGGTCCAGTCGCCATGGAATCACATCCCTTGCTCCTCCACATCGGTACCCACCATTCCGCGGATCGCTTGGGACATCGTGCCCTCTCCACTGTTCCCTGTCATCCTGGGGATTCCCTGGCTCCAGAAACATAACCCCTTGATCAACTGGGCCACTGGATCCGTCACCTTCCAGTCCCCTTCCAGCTCCACGGTCAGCATTTCCTCTGTTCCCAACCGATCAACAGCCCTGGTGATCATCGAACACAGCCTGCTGGACAAGTACCAGGAGTTCGCGGATGTATTTGTCAGGCTCGGTCCCGACACCCCCGGCCGATTCGGCGCCACGGCGCTCCGGCCGTGACGTCACGCGGGGCTCCGTCCCCTGGGCGCGGCTTGCTCTCATAAACCCAGCGGAGGCAATCACTCGGCGTTCAGTCAATGTGGAACGTCGAACGATTACCTCCCCTGTCTCCACAGAACCAGTCCGGCTCCCCCACGCTGCAGTCTGCAGTCCACTCGGACAGATCCAGTTCCTGCATCTGCCTCTCAGCCTCACCAGGGATCCAACCCTACCCACTGAGCTGTATCACTGCCACCAGTAACTGCAAGTATTAGGGCTTTAGCCCTACATGGGATTACTTGTGCATACACCTGTTACCATACTGCTGGAGTATTGTCTGCTTGCATTATCACCTCCATCAATCATACTGCTGAAGTACTGCCTGTTGTTGCTAAACTACCGGCATTGAGTTATACTGCTGGATTATTGTCTGCTTGCACTATCACCTGCAATTGTCATTCCGCTGAAGTGCCGCCTGACTCTGCTAAACATACTGCACTTGATCATATTGCGGGAAGATTGCCTGAATCTGTTAAATACCTGCATTGAGCTGTGGTAGTGTCCTAAGCTAAGTCTTATACTACAGTACGGTTACAACTACAGTCCCATCACACCCCCGCCCCACTAAAATTAATCTATCGTAGGGATAGGCTGGGATACATGATGTGGAACGGCTCCCCATCGCACTGAGTGTATTAGGGAGCCGTCTGACTGATCCAATCCCATTAAGCCTACTCCTGAATTGTTCCACAGTTGAGGTCCAGTCCCCAGCTATCCGCTTGTGTTGTGACAGTATTCGAGAAGAAGGGCGCCGACGCCCTGCCTCCCCAAAGGCCATAAGACTGCCCGATAGACCTGCTTCCTGGGGCCCCATTGCCTTACGGGCGTCTGTATAACCTTTCGGGACCCGAAACCAAGGTCCTGAAGGCCTATATCGACGAAAGCCTGGCGAAGGGGTTCATCCACCCTTCCACCTCTCCAGTCGGGGCTGGCATCTTCTTCGTGGGGAAGAAGGATGGCGGGCTCCGGCCCTGCATGGACTACCGATCCCTCAATGATGTCACCAAGAAAAACCGGTACCCGCTTCCCCTCATCCCAGATCTCCTGGACAGGGTGGTTCTTCACCAAAATTGACCTCCGAGGCGCCTACAACCTCGTCCGCATCCGGCAGGGCGACGAGTGGAAGACTACCTTTCACTTACGGTTTGGGCACTTTGAGTATCTCGTGATGCCCTTTGGGCTCTGTAATGCCCCTGCTACCTTCCAGTATTTTGTTAACGATGTCTTCCGGGACCTCCTAGATACCCACGTCGTCGTGTACCTTGACGACATACTCGTCTTCTCCCAGAAGCTGATGCAGCATGAGAGGCACGTCAAAGCGGTGCTCCACCGTCTCCGGACCCACCGGTTGTACGGGAAGCTAGAGAAGCTAGAGAAGAGCACCTTCGATGCCACGTTCATCGAGTTCCTGGGCTACATCCTATCCCCAGGACGCGTGGAGATGGACCCTAAGAAAATTCAGGCCGTCTTGGAGTGGCCCGTCCCTCACAACCGACGGATGGTCCAACAAATTATTGGCTTCGCCAACTTTTACAGGCGGTTCATCAGTGGCTTTTCATCCATCTGTGCCCCCATCACGGCATCAACCAAGAGTGGCACGTCATTCACATGGACCCCGGAGGCCCATCGGGCGTTCCAGCGCCTCAAGCACTTGTTCACCCAAGCCCCTTTCCTGGCACAGCCAAACATCGCTCTTCCGTTCTACCTGGAGACCGACGCCTCCGAAGGGGCAGTCGGAGCCGTTCTCGCTCAGTGCCAAGGGGAGAGACAGCTGTTGCACCCCGTCGCCTTCTACTCCCGCAAACTCACCCAGGCCGAGCTCAACTACGACGTGGGCGAGAGGGAGCTGCCCGCCATCAAGAACGCCTTGGAGGAATGGAGGCATTTGTTGGAGGGAGCGGAGAACCCAGTGGTGGTCTACACGGACCACCGTAACCTCGAATATCTCCGCAGCGCCAAGCATCTGAGACCCCGGCAAGCCCGTTGGGCCCTCTTCTTCACACGCTACCCTCTACAGATAACCTACCGGGCCGGATCCAAGAACGGCAAGGCCGACGCCCTGTCCCGTATGCATGCCTCTGAGACCGGACCTGCGCCTCCAGAGGCCATCCTGCCAGCAGCGTACTTCATGACCACCCAGCACTCCCTAATCAAGGAAATCCAGAGGGCCAGTACGCCGGTCCGGAGTACAGCGGAAAAACTCTCCTACTGCCTTATTTCAACGCGGGAAGAACGTATCCCAAAGCAGGACAGGACCGAGGACCATATAACCACGATTCTGATAATTGCGATTATCCACCACAATCCGGTGAGTACACACTACTAAGGGGGCTGCGGGACCAAGGAGGCAGGGACCAACAACTACCGGTTTTTTGTCTCCCGTTCCTGTTTTGTCTACACTTGTTTTCACACCGCTCATTGAACATTGTTGCCTCCGGCATTTTTCTTATCTAAAGGATTAATCTAAGATCGATACAGACTGTTGACTGCTATTTTTGTGGCTCTGAAAAGACCAGCTCAAGATTGTCACAGACTGCCGATTGCCACTTTGTGACTCTTATGATTTCTGCTATATATTGATGACAATTCAATGCTGCACTTTCTTAACCAATCTGGTTTGACCTATATTTATTGTGACTTAAGTGTGTTATGATCATCCACCTTATCTTTTAATGCTAATTATTGTTAGGTTTTTTGGTATTTATAGGCTATATGCTACATTAAAATTTTAGCTAATTCTCCACCTATGTGTTTACACATTGATACAAATCTTCTTTATAGTACCTAGCCACGATTTTAATTCTTTCCCCAGGATTGTGTTATACACACACATCCTCCTCTTATCTATTTTTATCCCCTTTTTAACACTTAATTTAACACATCGATAATTTAACTATTGATTACCTATACATAGTTCTAAATTGAATTAACCTCTAGCGCTGTGCTACTAACATACCAATCACAATCCTTAGCCATCCATCATTTGAAATGTTGACTAATATTCCTTCTTGAATTCCTTCTTGCCTCACATTCTCAAGCCAAGAACAAATAGCACATATGGAAGCAATCAGCTATTGTTTTTTTAAAAAAACCATTCATTCCTTACAAACTTATCTAGGAGACAAAATATATTGTGTCCATTCTTTAATTCCATAGCATCTAATAGTGTAGCAACAAGTGTTCCTTTACAAAATAATTCATGAATTTAAGATCACAAAAGCCCGATTTCTCTTGTAAACGATCTTCAAACCTTTGGCTGGTATTTGCTGTTGTGGAGAACAGTAACCTCAGCCTGCTCTCTATGTGCTTGGAGACCGGACTCCTCACCGCCCGCCAAATAGTTTTAATTAGGCAGCTGTGACTTGGTAAGGGGAGCATATAGAGTATAGTCGCTAATGTTAACTATATTCTCAATTCTTATATGACCTCAGTACCACCCTGCAGATTCCTCTCTGGTTCCCAGGGTGCAGAGAATACACAGTAGAATATCGTCATAGGAAACAGGTCATTTAAAAAATCCTTCTACTGCATGCTCTGGACCTGGAAAGGGTGATGGTGAGATAATTGTTACCTTACATGGAGTTTGGTTTCAACAGTATTATTTCAGAAAAATGTATTTGTAAATTGTTTCTCTTTTTTTCAGTGCCAAATTAGATTTGGAGGCCGCAAAGAAATTGCTTCAGATTCTGATAGCCGGTAAAGAAACGTTCATTTATTATCACTTATACTATTCTTATGATTACAAGATATGTGTCCAGTTTTTGAACACTAGTGTTAGTTTTTAGAGCATTTTTATAATGTACCAATTTTCAGGCGTGTTTTGTATTATGATATGCGGCTCATGAGCGACTGTTTCCTCAATTGTAATCCTTACCATCTTGCACAACCCTTGTTTCTTGATTGTACAGTACAGGACACAGGCATATTCAAAGATGGCTAGGTAATATGCAGGTATCACCAGATGATTGGCTAGTGCTGTGAGGACCCCCATATACCCCATTCCACTCCAGAAGATCCTGCAGGGAATCCAGGAGATTTTTGCTAGTGACTTTAGTGAGGTCTGCTTTCTACCAAGGGAAATGCAGAGCCAGCCTGTAATGTAGATTTGGGCACTGGATCCTGTGTTAGGCGCCCACCTTGGCATGTGGTGTAGGTGGGTTAGCTGCAGGGTAATATACAATTCACGGGCAGTGGTATATCCAGGTAGAACAAAGTTGTGTTCCAGCTGCAACAACTGTTTCCTCTGTGTGTACTTTAGTCTATGAGGAGGGCTCCAGTTCCAAATGTGCCAAAGTGTATCTAGTTAAGTTATACACAGAGGATCAAAAAGAGAGTGCTAACGAAATGTATGCCATACTAGAGAAACAAAGCAACATATACCTGGTTAAGACAATATTCTTTGAGTTCTTCAGCTTAAAAGGACATGCAAACTCTATTACACTCAACACCTGTTCTGGTTGTGTAGACTTTCAGCAGAAATGCTACATTGTTTCCTCATTTAAGGGAAATATGCACATACCCTTGCCAACATGAATTAAATCTGACCAGTTACCTGACAACAGGGAAGAAAGTCCTACTCTGGAATCTGTGAATACCATCTTCACTTAAGGTACCTGGCTGGTCAGATTCCTGCTGTGGAAATGAATGCTAAAATCCTGCTGAAAAGAGACATTCTCATAGTACTTAAAGTCCAATGGTCCTGATATCGCCCTATATGCACAAAGACTTTCTCTAGGCTGGATAATAGTGGGCAATGTATGTTTGGACAAGATGTGCAAACCATCTGAGAATAACTCCTTAAAAACTCATGTTTTAGGAAATGGACATACAACTGACTTTAGACCATGCACTCATTATTAGGTGAAGGAGAAGCTCAATGACAGTGTTTTTTGTTACTACACAACAAAATAGCATCGTAAGTTGAGGACAGAGATTCCATTAGAATAATTCTTCAAGGACAAGCTTAGAGTTAAGAGTTAAGATTCCACACAGTTGTGAGCAGGCTTTGTCTTACTGCAGCCAACATTAAAGATCAAGTTTAACCCCTTCATGATGGGAGACACTGTAGTGCCCGTCATTAAGCGCCAAAATGACTGCTTACGTACACTGTTATACACAGCTATTTGGGGATCTGTAATGCCGGTAACAGCAGAGAATCAACGGTTACCATTCATTAATGGATGACTCAGTATTGTTTTGACAGTGATAGCATAGTGGTATTTACCGCACTTGCTGTCACTGTTTGACAGCTAGTATAGATCTGGATTAGGAAATCCCAATATGTACAAATGTTTCAGAATGTTTCTGAAACATTGTTGCAGGCTTCTGTCAGCATCAATATATATATAATTTTATATTTTTATACTATCATTATTATAAAAATGAACCTTCTACCTCCTCCATTGTACAGTGTCACGGCCTCCTCTCTCCACCTTTTCTCCCATATCTGGCCTTACTGCTCTGTCCATGTCAAAAATGTAAATACAATAAAAAAAAATAGGGAAAAGGTAAAACGATTTAGAAAAAATATAGGTTGTTGTTAAGTACTTAAAGGAGAACTATGGGGTCAGTGTTTTTCCCCATAGTTCTCCTTGGGTGTAACGGGAGAACACAAACTAGCGTCCTCCCGTTACCCTAAGCTCAGTATACCGCGAGCTACAGCTCGCGGTATACTGAGACGCCGCACCTGGAGCGGATCCCGACTTAGATGACAGGATCCGCCCAGCTGCGTGAGTGACAGCTGGCTCTGCCTATCTAGAGGCAGAGCCAGCTGTACCCGCCCCCTCCCCCGTCCGTTCCGCCAGTCAGTGCTGGCAGATCGGAGCGGGGAGAGGGGAATCCAGCCCCTCCCCCTGTCATGGCAGAGAGCCGTGACAGGATCGAGAGGTGAGGGAACCCGGTATGTGTTCTCTCACCTCCCGATCTACTGAGCCGACCTGTGACAGTCTCATTGTCACAGGTCGGCTTAGAACTATGAGGTGAGTGGAAATCACTCATGTCATAGTTCTCCTTTAAAGTACAGTATATGTTAGTGAATTTGCTCTTTTGTACCATTAGAAAAAATGGCCCAATTCAGGAATCAGATAATGAGCAACAAAATAGTTGAACCCCCTAGCCCAAGTCTGTGGGTCCAAAAACACTACTTGCCAAGGAAATCAATTATAGTAAGTGACACCTGGGTGTAGGTTTGAAAACGTATAATCTTTAGTCCAGTAATCTTGAAGTGCACATTACTTTATGGTTAAATCAAGGTTATTAACATCAATAAAAAGGTGCGAACAGTGCACAAAGTGTGTATGCAGAAAGTTCACTTAAGAAAAGAAAATGTACGGTAGAACACCACGTTTTAGCATGACCAATACAATGTGTTAACACAAGCTCTTATATGGAAACTTGTTTGTTGTTTCTTGAATTAATATTTTCAAAAATTGTTCTCATCCTTTACCATCTTTTTCTGTATAGTTGGTCATCTTAGGGAAAGCAGTTTCTTGGTGGCATGCTTTGCTTTTTTAGAATTTAACACGTTTTGCTATTGCACTGCAGCAGCACAGCATAAATTTATCATTACTGTAAACGGGCAATTTTGTTGTGCATTCCCTACAGGCTGAAAGTTCCCAATCCACCCTTACAACTACCCTCCTGCTCTTAGCCATCTTTAGCCTATGCCACTGAGAGTCTGTGCCCTGGTATGTTATAAACGACCAAAAGTGGACACCATAGTTTGCAATTTTTAACATTTTCTTTACATTTACTAGTTTCAAACAAATTATTGACTGCAGACTCCAGCAGCAATTTTTTGAGAGTTTATGTTCAAATTAGACATACTAGTCTCATTCACGGAGGCTGCTCAGTGGCTTGCAAAATGTGTTTTCTTTTTTCACACTGTGTTCACTCACAATTTATGATTCGGCAGAAACAAAAATTTTATTTATGGGGAGAAGAGCCTGCTAATGGCACCAGATACCGAGCATCCATTTTTCCGGGTTCCATTTGTTGCGCTTATCACTGTAAAATGGGCTGTCATGGGTCCTGGTCACAGGAAGAAATCATAGGGCTCCAAAGCAGCCCATTCCAAGACCTTAAAGTTAGATATTAGGGCTTTTTTTTTCTCTGGTGCCTCTGCACGCCGTGCCCAGGGGAAAAAGAGGCAAGATGCTGGACACACATGGCGTCTCCCCGACACCATTGGGCCCAACTGACTCAGCTATACCATTCCTATTGCTCTGTAGGATCTCTGCACATCCTGTACTTTAAATGGTTGCTTGGTTGCCTTCCAAGAGTGATATGGAGGCTCTGTTTGTTCGCTTCGAGAACATGCACAAGCAAGGTATGGCAGGTCTCCATGATCCCATCCAGGGCATCCATCAACGCCTGGACACTGTTGATACTGACCTGGAAGCCCACCGTTTGGCTATCTCAGAATTACAATTTGTAGTGCTGGTTCAGCACAAACTCATTCTGTTTGGACCCAGATTGACGAAATCGAGGATTGAAATAGGAGGAACAATATGCGCATCCGTGCACTTCCAGAGGCTACTGGCACAACTGAATTGGAGCCCACTGTCAGAGGCATTTTTAATACCTTGCTGAATCATCCTCTCACTTTGCCCATAGAGACTGACAGGGTACACCGCAACCCGGGCTTCCGTAACTGTAAATATGTAAAATCCACTTCTTCAAACAGAAGGAGGTGATCCTTGCTAAAGCTCAGAACCGGGGCTCCTTTGATTTTAACAGTGCCGACATCACCCTCAATCCAGACCTGTCGCCATGGGCTTTGGCCTGCTGCAGGGCCCTGCGGCCTTTAACTAAATAGCTCAGAGATCTGCACATATCTCATCAGTGGGGCTATTTGTTCCACCTGCTGATTTGTAAAAATGGCAGAGCAGTTATTGGAAATTTCCACTGTGGAACTCAAGCCCTGGCCATATCCCCCAACCCCTTTGTCAATGCCTAGGTAGAGGTCTTTCCTGCCAAGAAGAAGGATTCATTCTACCCCCTGCTTCTCCTCACGGTAGGCTCCACATATTGTCCTTTTAAGCAGTCGTGACTTTTTCCCTACTGCTTATCTGATGCTTGCCACATATGGCCAGGACTTAGCTCTACCAACTATGCTCCCTTTTGATTTAATGGAGGCCCCTTTATGCTGGATTTCTTTCTTATGCGCACTCAGGTTTTTTTGGCCACCCCAGACCATTCTTGGTCTACAGTGCTGTTTCATCTGTCGGGGGTGGCTCTAGATCTTTTGAGCCCTGGTTTGTTCACAGTTTCTATGATTGTTTTTTTGGGTTTGCTGGAACTTTGGATGGAGTGGTTCGTGCCTGTTGTCCTGTGCTTTTTCTACACTATTGGTTTGGATGAAATTGTATGTACATGGGTGGAGAACTGGCTGCACGAACAGATCCAGAGGATAGTAATAAATAGTTAATTTTCTATTTGGGCAAAAGTGGTGAATGGGGTGCCTCAGGGTTCAGTCTTGGGACCGATCCTGTTTATCTTATTCATCAACGACACATAGATTGAAATAAATAGTTCAATCTTGGTGTTTGCTGCTGATAATAAACTGTGCAGGGCAGTACATTCTATACAAGACATACATTCACTTCCTAACCAAGTATTTATTGGGTTTTCAAAAATTAAACAATCAGCATTTCACATAATATTTGCCGGCCACAATAGGCCACATAGGCAATATA